TATGCAAATGACTCTGGTTACAACTACTGGATGTGTTTATATAAATGACCTTGATTTTTAAGAAAGGTCCCTTTTTTCAGGTGCAGTTTTGTACCTGCAATTAACTGTGGATTCATGTGAAGCATTTCAGGTATCTGCATATCAGACCACACCTGCAAATGATGAAGGCAGACATCTTAATGCTAGAATTTTTGGGTCCAATTACTTCAAGAGAGATAATTATGTGGAACCGTAATGAAATTAGACTGCAACATTAGCTGGGGTGCAACCCTAACATGTGGTCCATGAAGTACGAACTTGGTATGTGGATGGAAAGGGCTAGTGGGAAGGAACAAAGTCAATGAGTGAGTCGTATCTACAGAAGTGCCCACCTAATGGAAGGTGCAGTGTACCATGTGAATTAATCTTGATTTATTGCCCAGACTTATATTTACTCACATATTACAGACACTTTCCCCACCTCTATCCACTCCCATCCCCCAAAAGTTAGCCTCCTAAAATGTGGATATTTTAAGTTTGATTTTTCTGCCCAGAATAGCTATAGTGACATGTCTATACCAGAAGCACTGAGGTAGCCTATTGACTTCTTGGCTCATTATAAATTTACTCAAATTCTGCTAATTGTTCTTTGCTCAAGAGTTGTTAATGACCCCCCCATCCTTTTTAATGGCCTGATGTTCCACAAGTCAAGCTATCCCTTTTTCAGCAATTTTGCTGTTTGTCTGGTACTCCTTTTCTCTCTCCTCCTAATTCACAGTCCAGCATACTGTTTTTAGCTGCTGCTTTTTTCTCAAAATCCTTGATCTCCTTATGGAGTCCTTCAGCAGCAGCTGCAGTTTCAGCTTTTGGCTGAGCACCAAGAACTGCTGTCAATTCAGCTGTGAAAGAGTTAAAACTGTAGCTGTTGCCTGAGCAGGAAAGGGAAGGTGAGTGAGCTGGAGATTAGGCTTCACTACTGCTGTGTGCTGCTATAACTCTGGGAAAATCTTTTTTTCTTCATTCTGCCTTCCAAGAAACAAGAACGTATTGAGGCCGTGACAAAATACAGCGTTTAGATATTCTTACCCCAAAGTCACACAGGTTATTGCGGTCAAAAGATGCCACTTTTTGAAACACAAGGAGGCATTTAAAGACACCAGTGAGCGGCCTAAATGAAAATATGACCTACATTTCTGTAGGTCCATCCAAGAACATCCCTACTTCCCCCAATGTTGATGCACTGTAACAAGAGGAAATTGGCCTTGCACTCCGGCCATTCAGCATGGAAAAATTACACCACAAACTGTGGAGAGAAATCTGAGGTTCAAAGCTGGAGGCATGACGTGGCTTCTCATAAACACATCATTCAATAAAACTTATGGTTTGCCCAGCTGACAGGTTTCTCCATACGTGCTCATTCCACTTGGGTTTGCTTTCCCAAGCAACTTAACCTAAATGCAAGTGGGATCCAGGACTCAGAAACAGTTGTGGCCATGGCAGATGCTGCTACAAAATACCATCCAGGAGAAATAGTAAAACCCTTACACTTGAAAGTTGATACAACCCAAGGTATTTTTTTTTATCTGTAGCCCAGAAAATGAAAGCTCCCTCCTGCTAGGACATGTTGCTGCAACAGCACTTAAGCTCAAAAATGTCACAGGAGAAATGAGAGAGAGAAGGCGAGCATGAAAAAAGAAAGCTTTCAATGAAACCCCTTGCAGAAAAAAAAAAAACATTAAATACAACAAATTCCACAGCATCAAATCAGCAGCTCACAGCTTTTTGCAGACTCAGGCTTAGTAATGGGGAAGCTGTCCAAGCCAACAGAGCATGGTATGAGAGGGACAGAAAAACCTTGCAGAATCAATACACAAGGAGTCAGAGAACCAAAGAAAATGAGAGGCAGTGGGGTGGAGATAAAGCCTCTGTTTGAAAAGCTATTCCTCTGTCGCTAGCAGAGATCTCCCTGCAGAATCTGGAAGATGACAAAGAACAGCGATCGCACGCAAGGAAGGCCAGAAGCGTGGTCTTCCCTTGTGTGCACAGAGTTACTTGCACTACCTCCTAACCATGGAGAGGAAAAATGACTGGGTTGATCTGACTGAAGCTTCCACCTCTGGGGAACAGCCGAACTACCCAGAAGACGAACTTCAGCTTTCAGGCCTGTCACTCTCCTCAATGCTCCAAGAGTGAAAAACTAAGCCTCTGAACAGCTCCTGAGCATTTCTATTAGAAGGCAGCTATACTCCTATACAGCTTTGGAGCAGCAGCTTAAAATCCCAGGCCTCCAACACACTCTTGCTTCTAGTTTTCCAATCTTGAAACATCCTCTGAAGCCTTCAGAGTTAGAGCGACTTTGAATATTTTCAATGCTTTTTTTTTTGGACAGAAAATGTAGTTTTTTTCCATAAACATCAAACATGTCCAGAAGGCAAATTTTGATTTTGGACCAATTTTTTCAATTTTCCAACACAAAGGCACAAAGCTTTGCATTTCTGGGGAGTTTGACATTAAACTGAACCTGCCTTTTGGGGCCTTGTGGCCCTATAGCTAGGCTCCTTGGCTAGATGACAACTCCCAGGGAGCCCCTCAGCCATGAGACTCTCATGAGGTATCAGCCTTCCCAATCCTCTAGGGAAAACAGCAGGGGGGAAAGCATCTGAATTGCAACTTCAAAAGAGGCATCACAGCGCAATAAGCAGAAGCAGAAGAGTGGCCTCAAAGCAAAATGTAGCTGTTGGGTTCAACAAGCCAAAATGAAGCATTTGCAGTTCAGGAGAGTCAAAACATTGTTTCAATTAACTTTCATTCTGCCATTTTCTTATACTCCAAATATTTTTTTTCGGAACACTTTTCATTCTGTGAAAAATCAACATATTTTACATTTCTACAACATGTTTCTATAGAAGAATTTCCCAGACAATGAACATTGTGATTTTTGCTTGGCTCTAGGGCTGTGCGAAGGTTTGGTCGCCGATTTGATTTGGTGGAGATTCGGCCTGATACAGTGGCCGAATCTCCAAATCTGAATTGAATCACGAGACCCTTTAATCTCTCTGAATCAAAATCGGAGAGATTTGGCGATTCAGACATAGACACAGCTTTAAATGTTTTCTACATACCTCTAGTTAGCAGGGGCTCGTGAGCGCTGTGATGCTGGGGCAGATGAAGCGGCCCACGGGAATGCGGGGGGTCCCCAGTGCACTTGGCAGCAGACCCAGAAGTAGACCAGAAGCATTTCTGGGTCTGCCAGGGAGTGTGCAGGGTCTTTCCCCCTATGTCCCCCCAGCTCGCTGACTGGTGCCTCCTGGGTCTGGGGGGGCCAGGAAAGTGCAGGGGGGCCCCCCAACATGCTCCCTGATGGACCCAGAAGTGTACTTCCAGTCCACTTCCAGGTTCACCACCAAGCATGTGGGGGCTCCCCCCATGCTACTGTGGGATGCTCCATCCACCCCAGCATCGCAGCATTCACAAGCTGTGCCTAGTACCTCAAGGTATGTAGAAAAAAATATTTAAAGCTGTGCCCATGTCTGAATTGCTGATTCTCCAAATCAGCATTGACTCTTCAGATTCGGATTCAGCCAAACTGAACCAGGGGCAGTGATCCGAATCAATGAATCAAATCACTGTCCCCAATTCAGGCCGAATCGGGATCAGGATTGAATAGGGCCCATTCCGCACACCCCTACTTTGCTCTATTCAGAAAACTTCCATGGCAGATCTCTCTCTGTCAGATGCACCACCGAGTGATTTTGAAAAGTCTTCCACGATAACATAGCTCAACTTCCATTGAAGTCAATGCTTGAACTTCTGTTGAGTTAAACTGATGCAGGGTTAAGGCCTGAACATTTCTTAAAAGAAAAAATATGCCAAAAAAAAGGAATCATCTATGAGAGAGAACTAAAGCATTACAAATATCATCACAATTCACTGCAACAAATAGCAGACTTCTCTTCTACTAAAATGGTATAGCCAACAGTCTGTTGGACTAGTAGAAAAAACAGAGGCATGTTTTGTACTGGTACAAAAATCTTCTCAATCTTGCTATCGCTAAGGAAAAATATGCAAAAGAGATAAAACCCATCATGATATGAAATGAAAAATCCATTGCCTTGTATTAGGAAGTGAATATTTCCCTTGCTGATGACAATAAATGATTGATGATTATGTGTATTTTAAAGAAGTGCCTTTCAGTCCATTTCCTTAGGGTGGTTTTCACTGCTAAAAGTCATAATGTTAAGCTGTGGTGTCCCAGTAATCTCTATGAGAGCAGCTTACAATTTGACGAGTTAAGAAGGATCTTTTACAGTAATGGGGATAAATAGATAGATCATGAGGGAGACTTCTTTTGTTTAAACAGAGATCATAATCTTCCACTGGGTACTGTAGAAATATTCAGACATGAATTACAGCTGAGCAGATACTAGCTATTTTGCTAGTTATGGTGCACTGTTTCCCGAGCTGTGTGAAAGTACCCATCCCTTAACCCAGGGGCGGGCAATTATTTTGGGCAGAGGGCCGCTTATTGAGTTTTGGTGCGCCATCAAGGGCTGCATGGCAGGTAGCCCGGGGCAGATAAATATTAAATTTTCGCAGGCCACATTTTGCCCACCCCTGACTTAACCCTTGGTGTGCTGCAGTTCTGCACCTAACAAGACACCTGGTTTTTAGAAGACATCTTTACAAACACCAGAGAGAATTTCTACATGAACAAGTTAGATAAAATAGGTCCACAGAGTCATTTAAATATCCCTGCTCCTACTTGAAGGACACTATTCTACAAAGAAAAAGAAAAACTAACTTGTTAAAGGCTTCCATTGCTTAATTTTACAGTCCTTGGTAACAATCAAAATCCCACTATGTAGTTTGACGATCTCAGGTATGAGGCTAGAAACATTTTGTTAGATCAGTTTAATTCTCCCATGACCCCACAAAACAAAATGAAACACACTCAGTCTGCACTATCAAAAGCCTTTCTAGCAAATTGGCAGACAGCCTATGCTAACAAAATTAGACCTTACTTGCTGCAGTTGATGATAACATCTTCAGGGAGGATTTTCTTCTTCAGCATCCCCTGCTTGGGGTGGTCTCCTCGCCCATGAAACAAACCAGGAGGCTCTATCCTGAGGTTACCAATTTGCTCTCGATGATGATCCAGGACACCGTAGCCAAAGTCCTGAACAACTTTCTCATTGGCTTCCTTTATTTTCTAACAACGTGAAGACAGAATGCATTACAATCTAGTCAATGGAAATGGAAAAACCATCATTGCTTCTTATACGTATTACAGTATAACATACAGAACAGCTCCTATGCCCTAAAGGTCAGACCATCTACAAAATTAGAGATGAGAGGAGAGAAAAAGGAGAGGAGGCAGAGAGAGAAAGGTAACACAGCTGAAAGAGGGAGATCAACCTAATCTGACATTTTTGAGACTTTATGATCACTTTGTGACGGTGTCTTGCATCCAGCCAGTTAGTCCAACACTGTCTCCTCCTATATCATTTCTTGAAAGAGATACTTCAATACTCCTGTTCTTTGGAGTCAGAGGCTCTGCAGAAATACCATAACTTACTTTCAACACTGATATGACATCATCGGGGGATTCATCTGGCTGGCACATTTTTTGCTACTATCAAAAAATATAGGCTTGCAGTGACCGTATTTTGATGAGCAGCCTAAGAGTGAGCAGACACAGGCACTGTTCCTGTTGTAAATGAGGGTCTGTAGCCTGACTAGAAAAGCGCAAGCGTTACTTCTGTCTTGATTGCAAGCTCCTTCTAGCAATATCCTCATTTCAATCATTTTCTTTAATGTGCGTCTTATGGGTTGGCTGTTTTAATTAATAAATATTAATATTTGTTATGTTTTTTCACATGTGCAATTGGTCAACATTTCATTTCTGCTGGGTTGTCTTAATTAAAAAGAGAAATTTAGGTTGAACTTATGTTTCTTTAATTCTGTTTGTTTGCAAAACATGTATAAAATCCTGTTTCTCTGGACAGCAGAAATCAAAGAGGAGGCGGTGTCTTTGTTCACAGTTCCCACCCTCTTCCCAGCCGACACTCAGCCCATGAGCTATCCCCTTCTGTGCCCTCTCTCAGTGCTGTAACCATAGTTTTTATTATTGCTGCATCCTTATCTTTCTGCTATTTCTCTTTCTCTCCTCCTGCTGTTTCTAAACTTGCTTATCACACCCTTAATCACGAGTAATACACTGGCAGTCAGAAACCTGAGGCCAGAGCCAGGAGAAGGGGCAGAAACAAGCCAGAAGCCAGAATCAGGAAGCTATGAGTGGTACCGGGGCAAAGAAGCCAGTCAGACTCAAGCCACAGAGTCAAGGACAGCAGCTGTGGATCATGCCAGAGCCAAGGACCACAGATCAGGCCAGAGTCAGGAGCAAGCCATGGGTCAGCAGCCAGCTACAGATACCAAGAACACCAGGACAGGGAACTAGAGGCCAGACCAGAGTCAAGGCAAGGTGCTAGGATGAGGGCAGTTGACAAGCTCACCAGGAGACTTGTCATGCAGACAGTTCACCATTTCTGCTGAAACTGCTGTTCTGGGGTAATGCCCTGCCCACAAACTGACTGCTGGAAGGATAACTCATCCCGAACCAGAGCCTCCACTATAGGCCTCCATGTACCTTAGTGGGAGCAGTAACGCTTAACACCCATAAAGACAAAATCCTTGACCACCCAATGCCCAATGGCAATCCCTTTTGATTCCAGTGGCCTTTCCTTTGCCTTTTCTTCAGGTAGCAAGACGTGCTTATGTTTGCAGAGGAGGTTTCTCTATTGTTTTAGCTATGTGAATGAAGACAGTTGTTATACTCAGTCTCTATGATGTGCAATCCAACCAGACCAAAATGTGTGAAATCTCCCTGGGTGGAACATCTTCCACAGAAGACCTTTAAATTGACAGGACTCAAAGTTATGTTTGCTTTCATGAACTACTGTTATAAAAGGAAGTGTGAAGGGACTTGTGAATTGGCAAGCTACCACAGCAGGTTATTCTGAGTCTCAGGCTCCTTGTTTTCAGGCATTGGTTATATCTACATAGACTTTAATAACACGCAGAGCATTTGTTTCACAAACACTCCTTCCGAGTGTGAATGTGAAAAACTATCTGCTATGCGGACCTATCGTTGCATGCCAAATTTCAGAGCAGAAATCAATTTTACATTAGAGCTGAACTAACTTTCAGCAAAAACGTAATGAAGTGTTTATAACAATCACATTGGCATAGCCTTAAAATGATGGTGGCATTAGTGGTGCTACATATGCACTTCAGCAAAAAGAGAAGAGATGTGATCATAAAAGTTCTTGTTACAGTCATCTCCAATAATGAACATTAACAGTGAATGGAATGAACACAAACTTGAAAGGTTAATGGTCTTTTTCGAGAATGTTACTGAAGTTTATTCCATTGTTAAAAATTGCTCTTTAGATCATACAAAATGCTATTCTTATTTTGAACATAAGGGCGGGAGCTGAGAGATTAATATACTCAATTTGCAATTAAGAGGGAAAGCATGCAAGCATTTGGGTGCTTCATTTAAAGCACACTTCAGGTTAATTACATGATTTTTATAATGAAGATATTTTCATGAATATTTAGGATTGCTGCATTCAGCTTATTTGATAATGAATAAATTGATAGGCAGATGATTTCAGCATTTCCATTAGAACAACTGCAGAATAAATGCTGAAATGAATTCAAGTGAATTGAGAAATGCTACTTCCAATTTCACTGCTTCCCAAGTCTAATTAATAAGTTGCATTGTTACAATTAATCATAGTTAAATGGCCAAAAGCGTGCATTGTGTATGCTCAGAATACTTTTTATATGCATATTATTTGATATATCGACATCACTCAAGTCTGTTCTGGATAAGCATTATTTACCATAAATGTTTAAATACTGGGTATGACAGTTGTGAGGCTACTCTGGGTTACTGGGCTTTGTGCTATATGACTGTAACAAGATGCATATTGTAGGAATGCTGCTTGGCTTCCATTGCACACTGTTGGGGGAAAAAAAGCAAGAAACATGAAAGTGGAATGAAATAATCACCCATCTAATACAACTTCAGCTGTGTTGTCATGGAACCAGCTCTAGCATTATATTTGTTTCAAGTGGAAACACAAAGATGTTAACTAATGCCAGGTCTGCTTGGTCCTGCCTGGTCTACGGAATGAAGTTTTTGATGCAGAATGATCTAGTGAATCCAACACCAGAGAACGAGTCCAGAAAGATCTGGCTTCTATTCTGGGTTCAGCCAGTGCTGTGTGACTTTGGACAAAGCTCTCTGTGCTTCTGTTCTCCTTTGGCCTTTTTCTTGCTGATCTATACTGTTCAGGGCAGGGACAGTTTTTCAATACATATATAGTGTCTATTGCACAATAGGGTCTCCAGACTGGGGCCTCCAAACCAGCCAGCCACTGTTACCAGTGAAGGACTGCATTGGAGAACAGAGAATAGACTGTAAAGTTCAGGTCAGGAAGTTAAATGATTAAATGCAAATTGCATAGATTTGTACTTTCAAATAAAAAAAAAAGAAAGGTGTTTACTAGCTTTTCTTCTTTTGACAGATTCTTCTTTTCTTCCATCTTTCTTTTGTAGTAGGTAGCCATCTCATTGAAGTCACACTTGGTAAGGTCGATGAGAAACATCCTTTCTTCTATGGTCGTTTCCTACAGAAAAAAACAGGAGACAAAGAAATCATTGGCACAGCAGATGGGGAGATGAGCCATCTAAATTTCACATGGCTACTGAACTAAATGGGCTCATGTTCTTAAGATTTTAATTGGTCAAATCCAACTGGGTTCTACCTGGTTGAAGCTGAGAAGGGAAATAAATGTTATGCAAATATTATTCATTGATGGAGAACAGGACACTTTCCCTACACATGGAAGCTGGTTTCCTTCCTATCAGCCCTCCCTGTACATCACAGAGAAAAGAGCTTGGAATTTCCTGCCAAGTTTTCACTGGAAAAAAGTCCCTTTTCCACATGCATTTGGCTCACACATTGTGAAAAGACAAAGCAAGGAACTTGCCACCAACACTACTAAATAAAACCAGATGGAGAAACTTGAATGGAACAGTATTCCATCAAAATTGAAATGCTTCACAAAATCTAGTCAATGATGAAAAGGGGTACAGGAATGGGCCTGTTATTTGAAAGGGTCTGGAAAAGGGTTCCAAAAGAAGCAGCTTGCCCACAGACTGTGACTCCTCACCTTTATTGTACAGAGAATGGATTCCCCATTAATCCATATTACAGTTGGCTGATTCACCTCATGATCTAGCTCCATGTTACCAGTTTTCTTAAGCAACTGCCTCTCCATGCATGATTGCTGAGTGAAACTTCACCTTGGTATAAAAGTCTGTACTCGACTCTATGCATCACATGAGTTCATTAAAGGACCGAAGTGATACATGAAAACTGATGTACACCCTTTACCTTAGTGCAAATGTTACCCATGTTATCCTTTCTACTGACTGATGGCTAGAAAATGATATTTAGAGGTTTGCTTTTGGGAATTGGCTTATAGGTAAAGTAGATATTCTATTAGAATAATGGTTGTTACAAAGGTTAATTGGTTTCAAAAAGCCTATTTTGGACAAAGTTTCCTTCTAGGCCTACTGTGCTGACAGCCAGCAGACACCTGGGAAATTGAAGATGTGTACCACACTGTTTTATAATGAGATAAGGTAGCATTAGGTCGCAGTGCCCAACTGCAGAGCCCTTGGGATTTCTGGTTTTGGTGGTCAGACCAAGTTAGAAGGCCCTGTAAATGAGCAAATTAAGATGTGTGCATGTGATGGGTTTGTTGGAACAAAGGAATATGCTGCCAGGACAGAATGTGGACAGTATGATGACCACAGGGAGCCCAATCGATGATTCCCAGGAATGAAGAGTCAGAGGGGAGAAAGAATACAAAAGAGGGATTTCAGAGCAGCAAAGAGACCGCAGTGGGGGAAACCCAAGGCCACACCATAGGGCACACCACCAGCCTGTCTCATCCCCCCAGCCGTACATTTCAGTGAGCTAAATAAAAAGATTGCCTGGGGTCAGAATAACAGCAAAGGTACATCA